TCCCTCCTGCCCCATCTCCTGCGTGTCCCACCTGTCACCCAGCCCTGCCAAATTACCTCCTGGTATGGCTGAAGCTCATCCCTCTTCTAAGACTTTACTTGAAATATTTCTAATGGCAGCCACTATAAAAGAACCTCTTAAAAATCATTCATCTTTTTTATTTATATATGTACAGAGGACGCATTCAAAATATCCAAGAGAAGATACAATGAGAATGCATTTCCCCTCCATACCTACCCCGGCTGTATCCCTTTCAGAGACAGCCTATGTGCATAATTATCTATCTTCATGTGTAGAGAGAGAGATCTTGTTTATGCCTCTTTTTTTTTGAAACATAAATGATAGTTTACTGTAACACACTGTTGCTACACCCTAAGAGAACTTTCTATTCCAAGGCCTGCCAAGCTGCTTCAGTCCCTTTAACTGCCACACGGTATTCCCTTGCTGGGAAGTATGTCACTGAGCCAATCCCCAGTGATGAACACTTAGGATGCTTCCAATCTTTTGGTAAGCAAAAATATTCCTTTTTGGCTTCCACTTCTACATCTCATCTTCCACAATGACACTAGAAAAATGGTTCTCAGATTTGTAAGTAAAAGTCTATGAATATTAAATTCTGAAAAATATATATGTATTTCTCACTTGACTTCCTTAATTCATTCCAAAGTTTCAGGGAGTAAGGCAAAGACCTGTAAGTAAACTGCTAATATTACAATGTAAAAGTCACTGTGAGCTTATTATTTAGTTTATTCCTTTACTGAAGCTTCTTTCAAAAAAGAAGTCTTTCTAACTAGTTAAGGCCGTGAATGAGTTGGATACTCTTGTTATTGCATTATTTCCTATTCTGTTATGTTACAAACTATACTAAGAGGCATTGGAGAAATTATGAGTAAAATGCATTAAGGATAGATCAATATTAAGATTTTCTTTCCTCTCTGTTATTATAAAAAGCCACTGGATAACCCAGAAAAAAAAAGTTGTATATTTTTCTATGATACTACCCCAAAAAAGAGGTGAAAAGGAAAACAACAACAACAATGGACTAATTTTCAAAATTTTATGTTAAATCAGATAACCATTTTATACTAGTTTCTCACACACACACACACACACACACACACACTGTGGCAAGAAGCCCCATAAGTTTGGGGATGTTATATTGAAATAAAGTAATAGAGTTAATGGGGGAAAATCTATGTATTGTCCATCTCCCTTAACCCCTTCGCCATTGATCTGTTTTAGCAATAACTGTATTAGTCCAGCTTCTCTGGAGGGGGTCTGTGAAGCACTGCATGGGTCTAAAATATACAGCCAACCAAGTTACGCCCCTTAGCTGCCCCAACAACAAGATGTAATCCAAATTCCTTAGCACAGCACTGGCACCTTCCAATTAGTCCTTCATAGCCAGCCTTACCTTCTGACATGGCCTCACATTCCCAGCCCTGTAGTCCAGCATTCTAACAGTATACACTCAAGGATCTACACACCCTTGTACAAACTATTTTCAGAAATGCTCTTTTCCTAAACTCTGATACAGTTCTGTTCTACCTACAAGGTGTCACTCAAATTTCTCATCTCCTCTGAGGCAACCCTCTGACTTCCCAGGCAAAGGCCCTTCCTCTTCCTCTTTGTCCCCACAGTGTTTGTCAGGTACTACTTTATCACACTGTATTTTAACTCCTGGTTTACATGTAACTGTTTCTGAGGGCTGGTGCTATATTTTTACTCTTCTTCAAAAACATCCCAAATTCTGGTAAAGCCTGACATCTCAGGGGGCTACAAAGTTGTTGTTTAATAAATAAATGTGGCTTGATGGTTGGCTCGTCAAGAATTGGTGCTATCCTAATTCCTTTCCTTAACTTCAACTGTATCAAATTGGTCTTACTGTGGAAACCACCAAAATAATTTAGTTCTCTAACAACAAAGTAAACCCCTTTAAGAATTTAAACCCATGTGACCCTTTGTATTCCCAGAGCATATTATGCACAGAATAAGTTTGCAGCTACACATGAAGTAAGCTCCTCCATCCACTCCTTTCTTTGGAGGTGGCCTGCAGAAGGGGATGTCTACAGAAGGGACTACCATGGGAGGACAAAGGACCTCAGGTGTCTTTTGGATGGAAAATCGCAAAACCTCCTTTAAAATTCCTTTTTATCCTGGGATGAGTTTCTCTCTATAAATAATGATTTAAAAAACAAACAACAAAAAAAGCTTTCCTAAAGTCACTACTTTACTAGACTATTGAGAAAAAAAAAACACCTTAAATTACTCTTCAGAATTGACTTGTGCAATCAGAATTTCTGGTGGCATGCAGGAAGCCACTTGCAAGATGAAACAGTGTCAGTTGTGATTTCAGAGATTCTACTGGCTTGGTACCTATGGCTGCTAAAATTTCCCTATCTCGAAGGTGCTGAGCTAACTAACTTTGGAAATAAGTGGATGTGTGTGAGACTAAAGAGAAAAGGAACTGCACACGAGCACTGTACTCCAGATAATAAAATCGTTTCCCGCAGGCTACCAGTTAACAATGCTGACACTGCAATACATGCATACGAAGTGAAACAATTAAATGGATGGCAGGTGGTGAGAGCCAGGCTTCTCACTGTGGGAGTGGGAGTCTACAAATAAGCAAGGGGAGAAGGCAGAATGACCCATGTGGTAATGGGTTATGAATAATAGAACTATCAGTACAAACGCATGTTTAACTTAATATAGATACAGATGTTACATATACCAATATTCTATATAACAAAAGCCTAATATGCTAAGTGTCCGGCCGTCCATTCAACCATCAAAGCATAATATGCTAATGAGATGCTAAGGCTGCTCAACCGCTCACTATGACGTGCACTGACCACCGGGGGCAGACACTCCAACCAGTAGGTTAGCTTGCTGTTGGGATCTGGCCAATCAAGACTGAGCGAGACGGGCTGGGCACGTCCTGGAGCCCTCCCACAGTCCCTCCCTGGCTGGCCAACCTCCTGCGTCCCTCCCCAGCCCTGATTGTGCATCTGTGGGGTCCCTCGGCCTGACCTGTGCCCTCTTGCAATCTGAGACCCCTTGGGGGATGTCGGAGAGCTGGTTTCGGCCCAATCCCACTCAATGCAGGAGCTGCACCCTGGTGGTCAGTGCGCTCCCACAGGGGGAGCGCTGCTCAGCCAGAAGCCAGGCTCACAGCTGGTAAGCACAACGGCGGTGGCGGGAGCCTCTGCCGCCTCTGAGGCAGCGCTAAGGATGTCCAACTGATGGCTTAGGCCCGATCACCCGGGGCCTAAGCTGTCAGCTGGACATCCCCCGAGGGCTCGAGGCCTGATGCACAAAATTTGGGCTTGGCCCACGGCACCTTGCCTCGGCCCTCGCAGCCACAGCTTTGTCTGGAAGGTCGTCTGGAAGGACATATGGAAGGTTATCCGGTTGGAAGGTTATTCGGCTGTCCGGTCTAATTAGCATATTATGCCTTTATTATTATAGATTTCTATACACAGCATAAACTCCTATTTTTTGCTTCTCAGCTAAGAAGGCCTATAAGAAATGACACTCTAGTAGCAATAAGCACATCTTGTGTCCAAATCTTGGAATCTAATACTATTCTCCAAAGAAAGTACAAGGCTCCATGGAGAAACAGCTGATTCTAGGACTGGAATAGGAAATATACAAGACAAGTCTGGATCATCTGGGAGTGCCAGAAAGTAAGGAAGTGCTCAAAATACACACACACACACACACACACACACACACACCAAAGTGGGTATGTTAAAGTAACACAGGAGCCAACTGAGAGAGCTCCATGGCTTCCATGGCCAAAGCTGGAACAATTTGAGCAAGTAAATAATGTAGAATTGGGTTATAACACAAAGTATAAAATACATATCTATGAGCCCATGATATAAATGAATGGCTGAATGAATGAATTAATGAATGGACAAGGGGAAAGAGACAGATCTCCCATGCCAAAGAATTCCAAATAGTTTAAGTAGACCAAGATGACTCAACTATTTTTATTTAACATAAATAAAATGCTGTGCACTTTACATTACATGACATATATAAACAAAACAGCAGGACTCAATAACAAAGTGCATCTAATAACATGGGAGCAAAGCTGTACCAAGTATGTTGCAGGACTCTGGAGCTACACAGAAAGAGCAAAGGGCTCCTCCAAGCCCTTTCTGAGTGCCAAAGCTGGAAACAGAAATGAGGGAAATGTCAGGAGGAAAGGCACCTGAGACCTGGATCCAGTCCTCGGACACCAAGCACCAACCAGGTGGCCTAACTGGTGAGTGGGCACATATCACTGGTGAGACCAGCAGGGTGCTCCTAGTCTTCAGTGGAAGGTAGAGGCCCACATATAATGTATGGCAAAGCCCCACACATCTCCAAGTCCTCCAAATTCTAGATCTTCAGGTTCCTACCTTTCTTTTCCAGTAGAGAATCTACCTCAGATTGGAACCACAAATCAAAATTAGTAGCAGAATCGTGTCCTAAAGCAGAAACCAAGTGATCTTACCACCAGTATTAGGAAAGCTCAGGCTTAAAGTAAGGAGAGAGAGGGTGCCTGAGATAAAATCTAGACGGAGTGACTCTAGGATAGAAGAAGGGGTGGCCACGTCAGCTGGCAGGCCCTCCCTGAGTCATGGGTAAAGTTACTTCCACACATATTTTCCTTCCCCTCATTTTACAGTCAATATTCAGCAAGCAAATTCCCAGTACAATCAGCTCAAGGAAGCGTCCCTCTAAAAATAAATTTCTCAAAATATATTTAGTCTCATATTAGTTTGGGTAATAGAAAAAAAACAGCCCATGTTGTGCAATCACTCCTAGATGCTGAGCATCAAAGTTCTAGATCTTCAGATATGTGAGGCTATCTTGGAATATGGAGAAGAACAAAACAAACAAAACAAAACCCCAGAAGAGGAGGCCAGTCTTCTATTTTCCCGACTACTTCACCAGTGTGAAGAGTTCAGTCTGTTAAATAAACCAATAAAAGGAAATACAAATACCTGATCGAGCAATGCCACTGTCCCTGTCTTCATTCTGCCCTCTGCTTGGCATGTCAACTGGAGTGCTATGTGCTAAGATAAAGGCAAAAGGAAACCATGTTAGTGGGCTCTTCAAAGAAGGAAGTTGTTGTTTTTTTCAGTGAGTATAATGTTTGAATTTCAAAATAGGCTACCGCTATTGATGATTGGCATAAATTTATATAGAGATTAATTAGGAATCAAAATTAAATGCATAAAAAGACAAAGAGAGTAAGAAGAAAGCAGAACCAAGTAACGACTTGCCTTCACTATCCTACTGTAGCATATAAACTTTTTTGAGTGATGCTCATCTCTAAAAAACTGAATAATCAACTAGTGATGCAGTTAAAACAATGAACAAACATTCTCAGGCAGATAGTTTTAGCCATTTTCCTCATTAGGAGTAGCATTTAAATAGCACTGTATTTTCAAAATGCTTTAAAATCAGTTTTAGTCATAACTATAGGCAACTCAAGGAAGAAAAATACTTGAAAACCATTTCATAAATGTAAAAAATGTTTCTCTGTTTGTAACCCACTCTCTTGGCAGATAGAAAGCACATATTCATTTTTAAATATTTCTTCCTCCACTTCTTTTCCATGTACACCCATATACAGTACTACTGCAGTTATTTAGAAAAACTCATGTCCTGGCATGAAGTTTAGAAAACACTAAAATATTACAGACTTCTAGGAATGCTTCAGATTGATTCAAACTGCAACTGCATTCTTATCGAGCTAGAAAGCAGATGACATATTGCCACAGAAAGCTTGAAACCCAGGGCCCTGCCTGATTAATAAACTTGCTATTTTTTGAAGCTGTTTATTTTCACAATTTTACAGAATATATAAACATGTTATCCTTACTTTAAGTAGGTAGGAAGGTGTCAGTTTTATTGGGGCATCAGTTAACTATAGCGTTTAAGCATATTTCAGGCTACAACGAAGAACAGAATACCATTTGCCATAAACACAACCTTTAATGTTAGTGATGAAGGTTCCCACACTTGTTAATCATGCCAGACTACAACAGCCATTCAACAGACTTAGCTAGCAAGGCCAATTAAATCTCAGACTTTACCTACCCACAGAGACCGAGATGATTACACCTGTAAAGAACCTAAAAACTTTGTTTAAACTGCTTAAATGAAAGAGAGAGAGAGAGAGAGAGAGAGAGAGAGAGAGAGAGAGAGAGAGAGAGGGAGAGAGAGAGATGTCTTCCATGCTTTTATTAGAGTGATTTTTGAAGAAACTCCGTGCAGGTACGAATGCAGGTGAACACATGAATAAAAGATACCATGGCAAAGGGGAAAGGTTCATAGCAGCAGAAGAGGCCTACAAAAATTAGAAAATGTAATCCTCTTAGAAACACTAAGGGCTCATTTCAGACCAAAATCAGCTTACCCTAGGGTTTAACAAAGACATTGACAAGAGAGGTTCACTGGTGAAATTTTCAAAACACCATGAACTTGGCTGCATTTGAAACGAATATTGCATATCGCCAAGAGCCCCTTGGATTTCTAGAGAGGTACCAAATAGGATTTTTTTCTAGGAACCTTCCCAGGATTTATTAATATGTGTGTGGGTCACACCATACTCAGCATTCCACACAAACCTGCAAAGAAAGAAGCACTCCGGGTGAGCCGGAGAGGTCCTCCTTCTGCCACCCCCTGCAGCAGCTTGCTGCTGCATGCCTGCAGCAGACCTAGGGACAGAAACACACAGAGGAGGGCAAACAAAGTATACACAAAAAATAAACACAGATTCAAGATAATGCAAAAAAAAAAAAAAAAAACCACACAAAAAAACACAACACAATAAACTCAAATAAAGCAAAACACACACTTACAACAGTAGTATTCAGAAAGAAAGAACCCATTCATGGGGCTGATTTTTACCTAGGTTACTTCCAGTACGACAAGGACCCAAATTATTCTGATTTGTGTTCAGCTTTCCCAAGTTGGGGTCTTGGTTGATGTATTCAAAGCTGTCTTGCAAACTAAATCCCAGGAGGGGAGGAAGGGAGAGAGAGAAGAAAAATGTCAAGAGATGAATAAAGCTGCTTTCTAAGAGAATCTCAAATATAGACACCTTATCAATTGCTCAGACTTTTCTTTATAAATGAATAGTCTTACATCTACCAGTGTGAGATAACTTTAGGGGAACTTGCTAAAGAAAAAGAAAAGAAAAGCTTTTTGGAGGCAGTCCAACCTATAAAACCAAACAATGCATTCCTAACAGTTTCCCATTACATGGGATACCAAACTCTATGAATGTTTAACAATTCATTAGAGAGAGAAAGGGAAGGGGAGAGAGAGAGAAACATTGATGTGAGAGAGAAATATCAATTAGTTGCCTCCCATAGCACCCCGACTGGGGGGTCTAATCTGCAACCTGGGCATGTGCCCCGACCAGTAATTGAATCCAAGACTTTTGAGTGTATGGGACGATACTTCAGCCAACTGAGCCACACAGGTCAGGGCCAAACTCTACAAATTTTGATCAGTGGCTGACACATAGGATATTGCTATTAATTTCTAACTTCTGTTTTAGTGACTGACACTCAAGATGTTATTATTCATTTCAAAGGTAATTTTATAAATATCTTCACAACAAAATTAATCTGAACTCTTAGTTAACATCAATGAGCAATTCAGCAACTTTTTTCAGGAAGAGAATACAACAGAAATTGATATGATTCCTACAGAAGTTTGAGTTCGCAATATCTAAAAATTTGTGAGGGAAGCAGATTTTAATAATTCATTGTATTTATAATAAGTAAAATAAATATAAATATTTTGAAGGTAATACAGAATAATGAGGCCACAGTAATTTTTAGTGAAATCTGAGCTCAATATTCTACTACAGGGAGTTCAGGCAATAAATGTTCAGGTAATATCAAGGGTCTGAAAAAGAATCTCTCACAAGAAATAAACATCACTTCTCATACTGGCCTAAGTCATGACAGTCCAATGCTAAGTGCTCGAACAAATAAATCCATTACTTTGTTGAAGAGTAAGCGGATTTACACGATGGTACTCAAATCTACAAAGCAATATATTTTTAATTTCCCAGGATAACAGCCTTCATTTCACTCATAAGGATGCCCCTTTGATTTATAACTAACCTTTCTTTCAAATGTACCAAAGTATTGCAAGTGTTTATATTTTAAAAGTATATAAAATATGCCTGCTAGTAAAATTCAAAATATATAAACAAATGTACCAGAATAAGAGTTAAGTTAGCTATTTCAGTATTTTTCATCTACACAGAAGTACATAATTAGAGGAAGAAAAAACTCTTGAGTGAAAATCAGAAAACTGCACAGCCCAAGAACCAGCCGAGCACAGAGGCCACACTGACAGCTGATTAGATGCAGGCATGGACAACCCGTCCTGCCAAACAGGTCCTCAGCAGCCTGGGCAGACTCTCTGTGCACTTTGTTCCTTAAACAAATAAACACACTAACAAACACGTTTTCAAGTTTGTTTTAAAGGACAAAAAGACTGGTAAGTTCCATAAACTCATTAATGTGATTCCTCTTTTTCCTCCCTTTGCTGTTCATTTTCTAGGGCAGTGGTCGGCAAACTGCAGCTGGCAAGCCACATGCGGCTCTTTGGCCTCGAGTGTGGCTCTTCCACAAAATACCACGTGCGGGCGCACACGTACAGTGCGATTGAAACTTCGTGGCCCATGCGCAGAAGTCGGTATTTTGTGGAAGAGCCACACTCAAGGGGCCAAAGAGCCGCATGTGGCTCCCGAGCCGCAGTTTGCTGAGCACTGTTCTAGGGTGTGGAAGCTTAGTGATGGTAGTAAGAACATAGTGGGCACCAGAGGGACCCAAAAGATACAGAGAAGCGGTTATTTGTTTTTAAGTCCACCTGATAAAGTCAAAAAGCCTTTTCATGTGCACTGTGTATAGGAAAATGTCCACTTTTAAGATCCCTGTGTTAATGTGGACTTACCCTGCTTCTCATTTCAAAAGGCATTATGGCCCTTGAAGAATTACTGTATCCAGAAATAGCCACCTAGAAAAAGGGCGGGGGGGGGGGGGTGATACGCAAAATTCCAAACTTACTTATTTGTGCTCCCACAGAAGCTGCCCATTCTAGCAGAGAAGACTTTACTAATCATCAGTTGCGGAGGAGAGCTGTGTGTGGGTGGGTGGGGGACAGGTGGAGGAAACAAAATACATTTTGGAATTAATGACTCAATATCACCATACCACTTCTCACAACCAGGAGAAAAAGAAGCCCAAACTCACCGTATATAGTGTATCTTTAAGGTGGAGCCCTTGTAACTCATTGCAACTGAGCCAAACATCATTTCCCCTAGCATGTTGACATCCGAAGCTGGTCTTGTGTACTGCCACACACGAAAGAAACCAAAATCAGTTAGCGTGTGGCACAGTGTGATACACAAGGCAATAGAAATAATGTTCATTAACCTCTGGATCCCTCTTTAGTTTAGTGGGTAATTACTTATCACAATGCAATTGATCATTCTATGATCTTAATGATGATAGCCTCTTTTTTCTCAAATTATTACTAATGCCCATGATTTCTTATTACACAATATCTTCAGAAGGATCCCAGTGTTTTATCAGATTATTTTTAATTTTGTTATGAAAAACAAATGTTTTTATTATCTCCATTGACAAACTCTACATAGAAAGATTATGTTATGGAGGAAACAGGGTCACTCTTTCCTTGGTACTAACACATTTCGTACCGCTCAGGAGTTTTCTCGTGTTTCGCGCGCCATCTGTTAAGGACCGCTCACGAGTGTTCTCGTTTTTCACGCCCACGGAAAAAGGAGCAAATCTAGATACTTATGTAAATTTTGTTTGGTCCCTCTTCATAGAGGAAAATGTTTTACGCAGTACCATACGTTAAAAAAGTACTAGGAACTTTAATTGTTCAATTGTTTTTGTAAATAAAAATGTTATAATTATTGAAAAACAACACCTAAAGTGCATTATGATGATTTAAATAACGTGCAGTTTGCCGAAAAACGTGCGGTCCCCAGCGTATGTCTTAGAGATTTCTACGCGGTTCGCAATGTGCTAAGAACACATCCTGGAAAGAAATAGGGTTCAGTGTTGTTCAATCAAATAATGAACAGCGTTGGATAATAATGCCAACTGGTGCAGGCAGGGTTCATCAGGTTCCAAAAGATAACAGATGGTTTGGTACCTTTGAAGTTTTACACAAATATTTTTTGAATATTTGATGCCTCTAGCTTTTGACAGGTTTTCTTGTCCCCTTTGTCATCCAAAAGGGTGGACTCTGCTGCCTCCACTTTGCCCATTCTCATTTGCTTGTTAGCCCACTGCAGTCTCCTCTACTCACACTGCACTAGTGACTCTCTGTCAATTCCAATGGACACTTCCCAGTTTGCTTTCTTCAGTATCTCTCTTGGTAACTCCTTTAGAGCTCTTTTTTCCCAGAGCATCCCTTGAACAGGGTTGTTCCCTGAGGGGCCTCCTATTCACTTACTGCATTCTCAACCATTATGATTTTGATTATTCTTTGCATAGGAATATCCACCACATCCTTAGCTCTAGGCTCAAATCTCTCCTTGAACTCTCGAATCCTATATCCAAAATGCATTCATTCACATATATTTGAATATTATGAACATCTGATATGTGAGTGAATGCATTGGATATAGGATTCTAAGCACCTATTATAAATGCTGGTGACACACTGACAAACAGGACAGATATAACCCAGCACAGCTTAACTAAAACAAAACAACCATCTCTCTGGGACCCAGCCCACCAGCCACAGTCTCTGCTAGTGTGCTTTCCACCCAAGCAAAGACATGGGAGTCATCCTTAATACCCTCTTCTCAATCGTTCTTTCTTAACTACAAATATACACATGCATACATACATACACGCAAGTACACTCATGTACACACACAAACACATATACACATCTACCTGTACGTGTTTGCAGAGGAGGAAAGAGAAACATAAATCTATCAGCTTTGTTTAATTAGGCTCCTCTCTGGTTACAGCTAAAACTAACCCCTTCTTACTACATACAGACAGAAACCAACTTGCTTTCATATTCTTTATTGGTAACTTCCACACACGACCTCCATTTTTATAATCTGCTTTTTCTTGGGCTACAAGGTCCACATTCCAAGTGTGATTCTCAATCAGTTAATTTTCGGTGCATGAGATAATGCTCAACCAACTGAGCCACACCGGCCAGGGCTTATTTTACACTCTGAGACCCAGGAGCTCTGTGAAATAAAGGCAAATACATGGCACAAGTCCTGACCAGGAAATTAATAAAGCTCTATAGACGTGTGGCTGCCAGTTATTTCCTTGGCTTTGCTCTTCCAGCAACATGACAGACAAAATTTTACATGGATCAAAAAGGAAAAAACTGATATACCTTCCATCAATGTACAGCCTCTGCTATTTAATACTTATAAAACTTTTCTTATATCTAGTTAGCCAATACATTTCTCAATAACTCTAATCCCTAGCCTCTACTGACTTACAACACACACACACACACACACACACACACACACACACACACACACCAGCATAAAAGATGCTCCCAGCCCTCTGTCCTTCACACTCAAGTTACATCTTGCCCTTCCTTCTCCTATTCAAGGTTTTCTTTTCTCCCTTCTACTAGCAAGTGCTATTTTCTTAGAAGGCCCATGTACATTCCCAGAATCCTTAGAGTTCTTATAACAAAGCTGGGAAACACATGTGTATTAATCAGCTTCTCATAACAAGGGAGCAAAACCAGAGGGTTTACCTCTGCCTCATTGGGTTGTATTATCTCTGCTTGATCACAGTTTTTATCAGGAGATAAAAGCCACCGTATGAAAACAGCATTGATGTGAAACATTTAAGAGAGCACGTTTTGTTACACTGATTCTCATATTCCTGGAGTGGAACCCTCCAGCAGGCATTATTCCCTGTGGAGAAATTAGCGTCAATGACTTCACCCTGGGGCACTCCACATGAGAGGGATGGGGTACCTGGTACTTGGGAAGCTGCTCCTTCGCGTACTGTGAGGCTCCCCCAGAAGAACTGTAGGAAGAGATGCTGCTGCTGGTGCTGCTGCTGCCTCCCTGACAGCACTTGGCTGACGTTTTAATAGGGACATCCTCTGTTTTCTGGGTTAGGAGAGACAGGCAAGGTGAGTGTGGCTAAATATAACGGGGTTCCTCAACACGCTCCGCATTGGGAACTCCTTTGTTAAAACATTCTGTATGTTGTGCTAAGTGCATAGAAACCAGAAGCTTTTATTTTTATTTTTCTACTGAGGACAAAATGTGGTTCCTAAGAATCTATAATATTTAGGAGGGAAAATGCTGGAGAAGAGTACTGGACAGAAGGTGGTAGGTTGTGTTAAGACTTTCTCCTCTTTAAATAATGCCACTATTATTTACTTTCCAATTCATGTTTCAAAATCATCAATAGCTCCGGTCTCTGTATTTATTATTAGAGGATTTTGAGTATTAAAGAGAGTCATAATTTATTTTAAAAAAAATGAGAAAGACATTGCTTCAAATTCCAATTTTTTCCAAATGGAACTAAGAAAACAAAAATATTAATTTGGAAAGACTGGGTTTGTGTATTTAATGACACATCTCCTTTAAAACTCCTTTAAAGGTAATCGGAAAGAAAATCATGAAGTTGAGTTTGTGAAAGATGAAGCCAAAACTCTGAAACCGGAGCTCCTGAGAGTTGCACAGCATGTGATGGAAATTTGGCCTTTGAAGGTTAGAGGTACTAGAAGGTTATCTGCTATACATTCCCTAAACAGAGTTCACTGCTAATTTTATGACATAAAGGTATAAAGATACATCTTTATTAAATTTTCCCTTCTTTCTACACCCAAAGATAGTACTCCCAACAGAAGCATCCTGTGCCCTCTATGGTAAGTTGTTGCTATTCCAAGTCTTGTTTTTCCATGTGCAGTTTTTGCTTGGAAAACCATGAATGCAACTGCAGCTTATCTAATCTCCAATGTGAGGGTCACACTGGTGGTCTAATGCAAATGCCTGCAGGCATGCGCTTGATACAAACTCATGAGGTATTGTGCTTACCAAGGGGGTGGAGGGCTGAAAATGGGGAAAGAATGTAAGGAAAACGTAAACTGTGCTGGTCCTTAACAGCCTCTCCAGAAGTAATGGCATTCAAAGTTGCACTTGGTTTTCCCGAGCATCTGACACTCCCTCAACACCCTCTTCAGATCTAGCTGTTACTTAATACCACTTAAGCCAGAAACACAGCCCCTCAGAGGACCTAAAGTGACACGAAGCCCACACCTGCCTCACAAACTGCTGGAGCCTTTGGCTGGGGTACAACATTCTGAGTAGTCTATAATTGGAGATAGCACCTGGTACAGTGAAGAGAGCGCCCACTGAACTTCCTGTAGCCTTGGGCACATTACAAACCTCCCTGGACCTAGTTGCCTTTTTGATTAAAACGAGTGCTTCAAAAAAAGCCTATATTCCAGATGCCAGTGTCAGCGCTGCTCTGACTAAAGATTCCAGTTGCTTTTTGAAAACCAGTGAGAATTGTTTCCTCCTCCACCTGTTATGACCATTAGGAGCCCTCAACTAAGCCAGCTGTGCAAGGTCTTCAGGGCAACAGGAAATGATATGGGAAATGAAGGGGAAACCACGTCCCGCCCACCAAACAAAGGGTCAAGTGTTCACCTAAACTTTGATACAAATCCACCATTAAAGCTTACAGGTGAATCACCTGAGACATTTCAATTCTTACCCCCCACCCATCCCTCAAACCTACCCAACAAGCCCAACAACTACTGTAATGATTAGCTATCTGGCAGACTTCCACTTTAATGCACTACAGAATCCACCCAGCTAACTGCCTTTAACCAAACACTTCCTTCCTGCAGAAAGGATCCTTATCAAAAGCAGGAAAACAGCCCCTTGGCCCTGATGAGACAAAGAGCATGACATAAACTATTCATTTACTTTAGCTACACATTCTGTAAACTGCCAGAATTTGGTCAGTATAGGTAGCAAGTAAAGAATGAATATAATGGATTTATCTAATTTGCAAACAGCTGAATAACTATTGAAAAGAGAATGAAAGGCCTAATGGTGACAACTTGCAAGTACCCTGGACTAACGTCCAGGAGACTCAGGGAGGGCCAGACTCTGCTCCTCACCTGGACACATCACTTTGCCTTTCCCGTTCTGGCTCCAAGGGATCAAAGCTGCTCTGCCCTCACTTGCCCCATCCCCAGGTCCTCCCGTGCCCTGCCCCTCACCACCAACTCCACCACCCTGCCTCCCACTGAGAAAAGGAAATAAATAAAAGCTTCTTTGGCCAGGCAGGTCAAAAGCTCACTCCCTTTTGAGTGAAGATGACAAGGCATGTTAGCATGCTGAAGCCCCACACTGAGGGGAGCTATTTAATTGTGTTTAGCCCAGTGCTCTGTAGCATTGTCTATGAGAAATACTGACAGAATGATCTAATTATTTTCCCTTCAGGCTAACACTTTATGAATTTTAGAGTTCTCAGATTTCCTTTTACGCTGCACATATTTGGTATTAAAATCCTACTAGATTGCTACTCACCAGCAAATTCACCTCTAGTAATATTTACAGTGCAATGCTTGGCATCTGTCACAATTACTTGCTAACAGTTTCATCTGTGCATTAGTAAGAATACAAATGCAGTCCTGGCTGGTTTTGCTCAGTGGTCAGAGTATCAGCCCACTGACCAAGGGGTCACTGGTTTGATTCCCAGTTAAGGACACGTACCTTGGTGGCAGGTTCCCCAGCCTCAATAGGGGCAGGTGCAGGAGGCAATCGATGTCTCTCTCTCACATCAATGTTTCTCTCTCTCTCTCTCTCTCTCTCTCTCTCTCTCTCTCTCTCTCTCTCTCTCTCTCTCTCTCTCTTTCTCCCCTTCCTCTCTCCCTTCCACTATCCCTAGAAATCAGTGGAAAAAATATCCTCAGTGAGAATTAAAAGCAAAAAACAAAAGAATACAAATGTAGCCCAGAAGATGGAGGGGAAGTCGGGAAACTTTTCTTATGTTTCTTCTGAACTATCAATGGCTGTGTACCATAGAGCCAAAGAGACAATTATGAATTAATAAGTGATTGATCAGAAAGGGATTGTTAGAAGCACAAACTAAAAAGATGAAAGTAAAAGTGCATTTCATACCTGAGTTGCCACCTCTTCAATGTTGTGAACAGCTTTAGAATCAAACAAGACTTGTCTACCTCGCCTTTCACAGTCTTGGTAAACGATCAGGCGAATCTCATTCAGGTCAAACTCCGAACATGACCAACTATGGATTAAAAAAAGAGAAAGAAGTTATGGTATCTGTATGACCTGGAATAATCTTCCCCACCTGTGTGCCTGTGTGCACATCAGAAGGCCGCAAGTATGCAGAGACAGTGATCCCTTCATACCTGGGGCAGACGGCCTTGTCTGTGGACGCCAATGGGCCATACAAACATTGCCAATGTCCATGACAAAGGTTGGGAAGACTGCTTTACATAATAAATCACTGGTGAGAAAGCTTCTCTTTCCAAAGCTGTTTTGGGAAAAGATGGTAGCCAGAAATCCTAAGGACATGTGTAGAGAGCTGAATGTGGATGTCTGGGTTCTGGGAACACACCTGAGGCGTAGGATGTTCAAGCTTTTGTGTCATTGGGCTGGGAACCATTCAGAGCAAGTCAGTAGAGCCTTCTCTCTTCCTTTCCCATCCACCTGTGCTCAGGTCAAATCGGGAGAAATTATATATCCTAAGATTTAGTATTTTCATCTATTATGGCTGGCTCTGGCAAAGAAGTTTTAAAAATCAAGTACATTACTGGACAGCATCTAAATTGCTAAAAACAATAACAAATAAAGGAAGCATGTCTTATTCCTAAGCAGACCAAAAGATACTGGGATAAAGCTGCTCTAAACATAGGTTTGTTCCTGAATTAAAAATAAAACCAGAATGCGATAGTGAAGTGAAGGTCTGGGGAGGGGGCTAGTGGGGTGGTGGTGGGGGGGGGGAACATCTGTAATTCTTTCAACAATAAAGATACATTTTTTAAAAGCTTCTCATATTTTCAGATTAAGGGGTAGGGGAGAGGGGCAGGGAAGTCCCTAAATGATTTAAGGAAGTGACATTTAAACACAAACTTAAAGAAGAGTTAGAGCTAAAATGTGAGAATGAAGAACACAGTAAGAGGGAGGGAAATGGTAAGATGTAAAAGTGATGCAATTGAGAAAGGAAGAAAAAAAGCCAGAGAAAAGAAAGAACTTGAAAGGTAGGCTGAGAAGGCAGGCCAGGATCCTGCCCTAAGTACAGTCAGAAGCACTTACTAGTAGGTAAACAAAGGTTGATAAACTCAGGTCTATGCTTTTTTAAAGTTCAATCTGGCTTGCTCTAAGGAAAACAGGGTGGGACAGAGTAAGACTGGAAGCAGGAAGGCCAAATAGAGTTTATATTGAATTCAGGCTCTTCATAATGAAGGCTACAGTGACAGGAGGAAAGGAGACAAATACTGGAGAGATGTTCAGGATGCAGAACTGATAAGATTTGGTGGTGGACTGGATGGGTGCCTGAAGCAAAAGGGGTGCTACCTGCTTAGAGAATGCTGAAGAAGAGCTGTCCTGAAGGGATAGAGGATGGACAGTTAGACCAGTGGTTGGCAAACTGCGGCTCCGCAAGCTGCGGCTCACAAGCCACATGCGGCTCTTTGGCCCCTTGAGTGTGGCTCTTCCACAAAATACCGACTTCTGCGCATGGGCCACAAAGTTTCAATTGCAATGTACGTGCGTACCCACACGTGGTATTTTGTGGAAGAGCCACACTCAGGGGGCCAAAGAGCCGCATGTGGCTCGCGAGCCACAGTTTGCCGACCACTGAGTTAGACAGACAGAGAGACTGACAAAAACAAACTGTAAAACTAAGAGACAGAATAACTGAAGTGAAGTCAGACAAGTCTGGATTCAAACCTGAACTCGCTGAGCTCCCATTTCTTCATCAGCACAATGAGAGTGTTACTGCCCACCCCCAAAGCTGCCTGCCATAGGAATTAAGTGAAATATGTAAAGTGCTTCACATAGAGCAGTGATGACGAACCTTTTGAGCTCGGCGTGTCAGCATTTTGAAAAACCCTAACTTAACTCTGGTGCCGTGTCACATATAGAAATGTTTTGATATCTGCAACCATAGTAAAATAAAGACTTGTATTTTTGATATTTTATATATTTAAATGCCATTTAACAAAGAAAAATCAACCAAAAAAATGAGTTCGCGTGTCATAGGTTCACCATCACTGACATAGAGGCTGACACACAGCAAGTGCTCCAAAATGGCAATAATTACTTAAGAGAATTGATAATGCTACTTTTTTAAAAAAAATCACAAACTGTGCATTATTGCTCCTTTCCTTTTTTCAGGCAGTGGTAACAGATGTGTTTTCTTAAATTCCAGCACCAAAAAAACATAAAGTTCTGGTTGTACTTTCTTTTAATAACTTAAGCTACCATGTTCTAAGCTACTATGCCCAACTTTCATAACATTGCAAGGGCATTCTGGAAATCATTTTTCTTCCACTCTCAGTCCAGAGATAGTCCACGGTCCAGGCCTGGCCCATCAGACATGACCCTATGATGTCCAGCTAGGCTGTGACGGCCAGTTCCCACTTAGTTGCTCAGCTGATAAATGGTAACCCTGGAGTTGCTGGTGCCATTATGAGGTGAGAGCCTTTCTGAAGATAAAGTCAACGTGGAGGAAAGCAGAGGTGAGCAACGGAATGGAAAGAGACCGCTTCCTGTGGGCAATCAAAGGCAGCTATTCCATAACGAACACCATTCCTGGAGTTAGTTTTCTGCATTTGCCACTGAAAAGTTCAATGATCGGGCCCCCAAATCACTAAAACCACTAAATTTTAATTTTACAAGATCACTAAAAACACTCGCTACAACCATCTACAGTTCTACACTAATAAAAGACAAACATGCAAATTGACCGTACCTTTGCTATGCCTTATGCCACGCCCACCAGGCAATCAGAGCAACTATATGCAAATTAACCCAACCTAGATGGTGGCCGTCAGCCACGGAGCTGGAGCAAGCAGGAGGCTTGGTTGCCCCAATGATGGAGGAAGCCAAGCTCCCCGCCTGCCGCTGCAGCTCTGAGCTCCACTCAAAGCAACAAAGTTTCAATTACAGAAGGTAAATAAACCCCAGATACCTGCTTTCAGCCAGCCGTGGCCACGGAGCTGGAGCAAGTAGGAGGCTTGGTTGCTCCAATGATGGAGGAAGCCAAGCTTCCCGCGGCCGGCTGTAGCCTCCGCAAAGGGCAACAAAGTTTCAATTATAGAAGGTAAATAAATCCCAGAATTTAAAAAAAAAAAAAAGGAGAGGCTGGAAGCTTCCATCACCAGGGGGCTTGGCCAGCCTGAAAACAGCCCTCAGCCCCTCACCCAGGCTGGCCAAACCTCCATGGGGTGAGGGTCCCCACTGGGGGGGGGCCTTGGCCAGCCTGCAAACAGCCATCAGCCCCTCATCCAGGCTGGCCAGGTACCCCAGTGGGGACTCCCACCCTGAAGGGGGTGCGGCCAGCTGCAAACAGCCATCAGCCCTTCACCCAAGCCAGCCAGGCACCCAAGTGGGATCCCCACCCTAATCTGAGACACCCTTCAGGGCAAACTAGCCGGCCCCCACCCATGCACCAGGCCTCTCTCCTATATAATAAAAGGGTAATATGCAAACTGACCCTAACAGCAGAAAGACTGGGAATGACTGGTCACTATGACACACACTGACCACCAGGGGGCAGACGCTCAATGCAGGAGCTGTCCCCTGGTGGTCAGTGCACTCCCACTGGGGGAGCTTTGCTCAGCCACAAGCCAGGCTGACGGCTGCCAGTACAGCGGTGGTGGCAGGAGCCTCTCCCGTCTCCTCAGCAGCACTAAGGATGTCCGACTGCAGCTTAGGTCTGCTCCCTGCTGGTAAGTGGACGTCCCCCAAGAGCTGCTGGGCTGCCAGAGGGATGTCTGACTGCCAGCTTGGGCCCTATCCCCCCAGGGAGCGGGCCTAAGCCAGCAGGTGGACATCCTCCGAGGGGCCCCAGACTGCGAGAGGGCACAGGTTGGGCTGAGGGACTACCCCCCCCCCCGAGTGCACAAGTTTTTGTGCACTGGGCCTCTAGTTAAAACATAGTAAACAAATTAAAGTTCTTAAAAGTAAAAACTCAACGAAGACTTAATTACTTTGTGCTTCTTGTTCAATCTATTGCCTTCATTATGAAGGGCCTGAACTCATAATATATTTTTTAAAAATAGCATAATTTACAAAGCAAGTTGTTCAATCCTTATTTCTGAGGGGCAATACTGACTCAAATATCAATCAAACTGAAGATAGCCTGTTCAGAAGAGTTAAAATTTAATAATGATTACCTTATTAAAAGTTTCATATTAGTTTTTGACTTTAAAAGATGGAAATAAAAGATGTAGGAAGAGCAAAGTATGTATGTCAAGACTGTCCGATTTTTTTTGACCAAAATTCCTTAGAATGTATTTTCTAAAATATGAGAAAAATTCTATTCATCTTCTTCCATATCAATATTGTCTTTGGTTTAACACCTAATTATAATTTTGACATCACTAATATTAGAAGAAATTGCAGCTGAGTCATTTGGTGAAGGAAATACAGGCAGGACAAAGGAGATTAAATGAGCACTTCAGACTGAGACAGGCCTGGGCTCAGATCTCAGCTCTGCCTCCCACTGATTTAATGGGGGCTTGGGAAAGTTCCTCCAAGCAACACTTAGGGCCTAATGTGAAGATTAAAGGAGGTAATCTAGGGAAACCTCCCAGCACACTGCCAGCTCTTTTCTCTTCCATCCTCCACACACAGGGCTTGAGGTATTCATAATCACGTACATCATTTATTCTCTTCATGTTCACATTCACTTCAACAGTCAACCAACAGTCACTGTGGAGTGACTATGGGCACTAACCACAGTTCATGGTACTTTCCTGACGGCAACTCGGTATGATTCAGAAGTATGAAAAATATTCCTTAAGCCTTTGCCTTAAAGTATATGACTATATTAAAGACATTTATTTTAATCAGAACTATCTCATTTCTTTGCTTTTTTTGAAAGCAAGGAAAAAACACTATCCCTGGCATCAAGGGTCATGGTATTACCTGTCTACTTTATAGTCACAGCTATGTGACCTGAGGCACAAAAATTTTACATTTTAATGTAAAATGTAAACAAAAAAACTTACATGGATCCTTCTAGGTTTTAAAAGTCTGCTAAGATTTACCTGGTTG